TGTTCTTCCTTTACCATCAAGAGCGAGCAGTGTCGGTAAGCGTAGGTAAGGCACCACCGTCAACTGCCGCATGGTATTACCGTCACGAGTACGTGAGCCGCCAACGGTCACTGGTAGATGGTACCGTTATCGCGAGTGCGCGAGCTCAATATCAGAAATTCATTGCGCCGCCCTTGGGGGCAAAAAACAGTGAAAGCTAACGTACAAAACCAGAGGGCAGCACAGGATGTGATCGCACGATCCCTTCCGTGAGCAATCTCCCAACTCATCTCTGTTGACTATTTTTAACTGTATTTAAATAAATGTCTTTACATTTAAAAACGACCGAATAAAACTCATGAGATCAAACAAAGAAAAGGGACCAGGGAAAGTGAAATGAGAACCTAGAGGAAAGCAAAAAAGGGACAAAACGGTACAACAAAACCATTGATGTTAAGCACGATTTAAAAAAAAAAAATGTTATAAAGCTCTAGAGTACGCATCGTGTGTCTTAACGAAGTCTAAATAATATAAAGAACAAAGAAATTGGTGATACAATGGCGAAAAGGCTTCAAAGAATTCAGGAAATGATCAGCAGTATATTTGAAAAGGTTAAGTTCTACAAGACTTGCCATTCGAATGAGTTGAAATCATTACAAACATGTTATGATAAGGTAACATATCCCCATCTAAATTAGTTTCTTTCCTGCCTGACTGTAGTAATTTAATATGCAGTAGGTACTATTGTAACAGAAATTTGAATTTGCAAAATTGGATGCGAGTTGCTTTTAGATTGACATCAGTGTGTTTGGAGATTGCTTCATCGTTTGTTTAAGAGTACCACTCTTAATAAGTTTGATAGTATTGCTACTGTGATATTTTAAGATTGATATATTCATAATAAAATAACTATCCTACACAAACAAAAACCTACACGATTCTCTTTCAAATTTTGACTCCGATTTAAATTAAACTATACTTCGGTTAATCTTCCTCGATTTTACATCTTTAATACATACTTGTTATTCATTGCTGATTCAAAGTTTTTATTAACGAGGAATTTATTTTTCCTAAACTTCTGTAAGGAAAATAGATCACTTTAAAAGTAATTCAGATCGTGAAAAGAAATTGAAAATATGAGTGTTTCATTGTATAAAATTATTTGACAAATAAACAGTAAGATATATGTTAAATCACAAGGTAAGCGACCACAAAACGTACAGGATTAAGTTTGTTACTTCAATTGATGTTTCTGTTAGAGCACCGCCAGAGTGCGCTAAGGTTTGTTTATAGAAACTTCAAATACCATAGTTGGACTGTCAATACTTCGCAGGTGCCCGAATTGTAAAAAATTACGAACATTAAACAAGGAAGAACAAAGAAAGGATTGAATGGAGAAGCTTGCGAAGCCCCAGATCATATGTCACATCGAAAAATCAGTGAATTACTCGCTCTTCGACGCAAAGTGGATACCATGCAGTGCGAAATTTGTGGTTATGGGATCGCGACCGCGAGGCACAGGCATCCTTCAGATTTACGAATTATCCAGCGGAGAGTTGAAGTTAATAAAAGACATTGAACGCTCTAATCCGATAAAATGCGGTACCTTCAAGGCGTCCAGTCTCCGCGACAGACATTTAGCCACGGGGGATTTCAAGGTACTCTCGACCACCGGTGTTCGTCTATTGCCTATCAACTGATTTCTTTTAAAGGTTAGGACGCGCAACCAAAAGGGAAGAATGCAATTACATTGATGTGTTAATAGCAAACAATTGACAATTACTGCTTATAATATTTTTTGCAAACACTTGTCTGTTAGATGTTTATTTCTTTTTCCAAACATCCGTAAATTAAATTATGAACTTGATCGCGGCGCAATCGGCGCCATATTGGAACTAAGGCCTAGTCGCGGTGAGCGCGTCGGGTGTCACACAGAACACGACGCGTCAACGCGTCTATAAGAGACCAATCAGACTGCGCTTAATCCCACGTGTCACATTCATGGCGCCGTTTTTGAATGAGTTACTTGTCCCAAGAGTTTATCTATTGTTCGTCGTATGAAAAGTGGAACCATAAATTGATATAAAGAACATACACCAATTTAAATGCTACGTCGTATTTCTTCCTGAAATTTAACAACCGATATGTGGTGCCGCTTTCGAGTTAACTATTCGCTTTCAAAACGGTATTCACATGCTTCTACCTTTAGAATGACATTGACTCCAGGACGTTTTCCAGGGAAAATTGAATATCTATAATCTGGAAGACCCATCGATACCGATTTACACAGTGAACGCGCACAAGGAAATAATTAATTCAATCGACGGTGTAGCAGGGCAAAGCATGGGATGTGGTGCACCGGAGCTGGTAACAGGGTCTAAGGATGGGAGCGTGAAGGTGTGGGATCCTCGTCAAAAGAGCAGACCGGTTGCCGTAATGGAGCCGAAGGAAGGCGAGACTCGTAGGGACTGCTGGACGGTTGCCTTCGGAAATTCATACAATTCTGAAGAGAGGGTAGTAGCGGCCGGTTATGACAACGGAGACGTGAAGATGTTCGACCTGAAAACAATGTCTCTTAGGTGGGAGAGTAATCTAAAAAACGGAGTGTGCTGCTTAGAGTTCGACAGGAAAGATATACAGATGAACAAACTGGTAGCCACTACCCTGGAGTCGAAATTTTACCTTTTCGACCTTAGAACGCAACACCATAAAAAGGGCTTTTCGTACCTCGTAGAAAAGGTACCATACGCGGATCCAATACAGCTGCACCAGGACCTCTTGGATATTTATTAAACAAATTTTTTTAATTCTCTTTAGGCCCATCAATCTACCGTCTGGTTGGTCAGACATTTACCACAAAACCGGGAAATCTTCGTGACCTGTGGAGGATCCGGCTCTGTCTGTTTATGGAAATAGTAAGGAAAATTTAATTGATTGGAAAGAAAAATCACGGGGTTACGGTAATCGACGAGGGATGTTCATTTTTCAGCAATTATCCAGAGAAACGGAGAGTGGCGGACGCTGACGGTATTGAACAGGGTGTCGTAGGTACCGTGAATCTTCTTCAGAACAGCACTCTCTCGACGCAGCCCGTGAGCTCTTTGGACTGGAGCCCGGACAAGCAAGGCTTGGCCGTGTGTACGGCCTTTGATCAGTGTCTGCGAGTAATAATCACCACGAAACTCAATACCTATTGAAAGTGGATTAGATTAGGTTTTAAAACAGGTGCCTTATCTACACCACTCTATGTTTCTCAATGGCTCCGTTTTTAAGTTGAACCACGGCAGCGATCGACGCGGCACAATTGATGGTTCGCGAAGAGAGGAGCATCTGTAACAACGTAACAGCTAAAAATATACAGAACGCAACGCAGGTTTCATAGATACCCAAAGTGTAGTGCCGAGATTGTAGAGGTACCGCCAGCTCAAAGCCCGAGAGATCGTCCATACCGGGAATGCAGGATTGGATTCGCAAAAAGTACCTTGAAAGTGCATCCGAGAATATAAAAATCAACTGCCCCATCGGCCGTAAACGAATTAAGCTAATGGCTGATGCAGCTAATTCTAATGACTAGGGCCTCAAAAGCACCATACACAATGTTTAGAAAATATTAATGCAAGTAGCTTTCATAGAAAACCCGTTTCTTTAATTCCTACTCGAACAAAATGTAATTGTCTATTGATTTTAAGTAACAACTAGGTGCGTTATATATTGAATGTAATGGTACGTATTAGGTGGAAACGAGTCGAGTTGCCGTGTTGACGAATGCCGCCACGCGGGACTGCAAGGATGGTCCGAGGTGCCAGCTACGGGATCGATTTTTTAAAACTCCATATTCCGGTTATGCAACGCGGACAGCGGCAGATAAAAGCGAATTATATGTCATTGGGGCAATCTATTTAGAATCGGCCTCTTAATAAGCGGCGGCCATCTTGATACGTTACGCAATGGTTACCGGCGGACTCGTCGTGGCCGCCATCTTGCCGGGTCTTGCCTCTCGGCTGCGCGCGCGGCCCACGCGACCATTGTGCACTCAGTGTCGGCTTGCATTCAGCCGTACAAGGTCACGAGTGTCGTGAGATTAATTACATAAATTAGCTGTTTTCCCGCCTGACGTCCCTCCCACTCGCATTGCTGCCCCACGACGCGTGGTCGAGTGTGATATCAAGTTGCCCGTAGTCCGGAGAATGCTAAAATATGTTTCACCCTGCGCAAAGCCGTTCACAAATATGGCGTCGCCTCGCTTCGTCAATTTTTCACTCAAACTGGTCGATCTTTCATTATTTTTTTCTTTCATTGCTTTGTATAAATAACATACGTGAGCGAACAGGTTTCTCATTCTTGTTTGATTGAACTATTCTCAGCGCACAGGATGCCAAAGACGTGTTTTGCGAATTCAATTCAGATAGTGGCTCTTTTCAAAATGGCGGCTGATCGATCAGTTTAGGTACCGAAATAGGAGATTCTTTCTATTCGCCGCATTTTGCCAGGACAATAATGCATTAAGAATCGTTACAATATTTTCTTACATTTCTGTCCAGCGTTTCATAAAACGAAGTTAACATTCGAAACCGTTCGTTAAATTAGTACTCACCAGTTGGTTCGACTCCTTCGCCAAGCCTCGCAATAACAATTGCTTATTTAACAAGATGGAATCCAGTTAGGCAATACGCTTCATTGTTCATTTATTTTTTCAACATTTCAGGTAGTACATACTCTCCCGGATACGCATAATTTCTAACACGGCTTGTTCGACCTACGGAATCAGACTGCACGCGAGAGGGGCGAATTTCTCCCCAAATAATTCAAGAAGCGTCTCTTCAGCCACGGCAGTCCCTTCTCCACGGAAATCCTAAAAATTCTCAGTAGCTCGGTTCCCGCCTGCTGGAAGAATGACGTAAGGGGCGCGCCGTTTCGGAAATTTCTTCATTTCCGAATTCCACCGGTCATATCGGTCTTATCGAGGAATAATTCAAGCGGAGGAATGCAAGGCGGAGCGCATTTCCGCCCGGAAAGCGCCCAAAGAGGATCGGGAAGGCCTCGTGGCCTGGAAAGCGACCAACCTGGTTACCGCGGCTTGTAAATCCTCGAGAATTATTCAGTTACTCAGCCAAGTCGGTGGCTCTGGTGCGATGTGTGCCTGAGGGTGCCTGGGGTACCTATTTTCAGGCCACAGTCGCATTTAGCCGTAAGCTGGCAGCCGGTCTACAGGATTGGTGGATATTCAAGAGATGCACGCGTCCGAGCCAAATGTACGAAAGGAGATGGATAGGAAAGAACAAGAGAGAGAGAGAGAGAGAGAGCTAGGTCGCCCCGAGCGTGTCTCGTATAAAAATACCGGGTTACAAGGTATTGCGTTAATAGGCGGACAAATACAAACATAGCCTAAATAAAAATCTAGCCCTAGATTTAGCTTGCCGATGAAGATAACATCGAAGCTAGGGCAGAAAGGACCTCTGACCACGACGAGGAACGAGGCGAAGACGCGAAATAAAGACTACGAAAAGAGGTACTGCGACCCTATTGGTGGAATTCGGCCGGGCCGTCGGTAAGGTAGGAATCCTCCATGGAACGAGCGTATCCGTTGGCCACATATTGAAGACCATTAATCCGATGTCTCTCGACGTTTTCTCATTTAGCACTGTCCATGGATTTATGGATCGCGGGAAGGTAAATGCAATTCAAGCCTCGTTGGGCCATTGCTAACTGATGCGGATGGATCGTATGTATAGGATGCCGCCGCTTGGGAACACCAAAGAACTGCTGGCTGGACGAGTTGGTCCTTCAGAAGGCGAGCTTCTTCATCAGGAGGTACATGTGCTGGTCGATCTCGAAGCCGTGTAAATTATTCGCATCCCCCTGCAGCCGCATCAGCAGGCCTCCGAATGACACGTAGGCGGATCTGAAAAGGAAACGAGAAATAATGAACAAGATTGTCCAAGATTCAGGCTTCGCCACCCTCCAGGGCCTCTGAACGAGTGCTTTAAAAAATTAACTTTACCACGTAACTAGGGTGATAAAAGAAGATTTATGCAAATCAAGATTACAACTTTGGGACCACTAAGGAAGTACCGGCAATTATTTCCGATTTTAATATTAGAAAATGTACGTAGGATGAAATACGCTTAGTCGTGACTCGGTAACCGATCGGTTGATTTTAATCAAAGGTTTTTTAAATAGTTCCTTAGCAGTTCCTTGTCAGAGGTAAGGTAATCTAAATCTAGGAGGCACGGGGACATACGTCGAAGACCATCGTGAATTTTCCCGATAGCTGGGACTAGATCAATTCTTAAGGGGACAAGGTGCTTTGCGGTTAATATCTATGAATTACGTGGGGCCCCGAGGTGGAGGAGAGGAACAGCCGGAAACCTCCACGGCAGATCTGCGACCGTCATAATTGCAGTGCCGATAGCGGTCGTGTACACAATTCACCACACAACCAGCTAACCACACTGCCAAGACGCCGGTCGCTCCAAGATGTCGCCAAAGGCCTCTCCAGAGCGACCTAGAGAAAATCACCTTCCGCCGCAGCGTCCCTTCTTCTTCTCTTCAAATTGTCGGCCGACGTCGACGAGCGAGAGGAAATAAAACCATTTCCGAAGTCTCGGCGTGCAGACGGCGATATCTGAAAATTAGCACGATACCAAACCTATTTCTAACACAAATACAAAACTCGACATAACTCGTTTCTCCCGGCAATGAAAATACCGCATACGTGCGGTACACACCTGTTCAACCTGCTTCCGATGTACTCGGAACAACGAGAACAAGTCGTGCGATTTCAGGTACTCTTTTTAACCCGATCGATCCCTCGACAACGCGTGCAACTTCCCTCGGGATTTTTCCTCTTATTTTTTTTATCTTAAGGGGACGCGAAAATGGCAATCGTTCATGATACTTTTCTCCTAACTGATTTTACCAAATCGTATCAAACTATACAATGTGAACACGAAGACCATAAAGAACGTCCTGACCCCCGTGAAATTTCACTTTTTCCCAAGGAATTTTTAAAACACCTATAAAGGTAAGGTAAAGTTTGAAACGATTTGGTACACTCAATTCGGTCAAAACTTTCTTACACCCTACTCTCACGTCCCCTTAAGGTGATATGAAAGGGTCATCTGCATATAGAAAACATCAAAATATTTATAAAACTTTCCTCCAAACTGGATGCACCGAATCGATGGAAACATTAACACGTTATTATAGAGATCCGAAGGAAGAACACCTGATGGTCATGAAATTTTATGTTTGATTAAAAAAACATTTTTATTTAGCGCAACCTAGAACCAATAGATATTTTTCTTGAAATATGAAATTTCATGAACACCGCGTTCTTCCTTAGAACCTCCATAATCACCGCGTTGAAGTATCAAATGCTTCGGTGCACTTAGTTTGGAGAAGTTTTATAAATATTTTGACGTTTATATATAATGACCATTTCATATCACCTTAAGCTTTAAGGGGGCAAGCTGCTCTTCGGGTCGACCTAAGGGTCGCAGGAAGGAACGTCGGTGGAGGTCGCGGCCCGATTGGCGGATGCGACGCACTTATTTCGAACGCCGCTCGGTTTCGACATCCCCTGGATCGGGATCGATCTTACGTCCCTTCTCAGGCTGTCCCCGGCTGCGTTTCGCAATCGCCATTGCCCGAACCTTAACCCCAAATTAAACGCCGCCTCTAATTGGAGCCGAGAGCCGAACGAGAGCGATCCGGCGTGTCATCGGTCCAGATTTGCGTTCCGCGAATAAAACGGCAGCCGCGCTCGATAGGGAAGATAGAGAAAAATAAATCCCCTAGAGGAGGCGCGGGAACCTCTAAAACGGGACGTCTCCCACGTGGAGCGACGAGAGATCCGCGGCGACCTTGCCGGAGAACCTCGGAGGTGGACGAAGTGGAAAGAAAAAAAAAAAAAAAAACGCCGTCACCCGGGAACTGGTTTCTCTCTCCGTACCTTTCGCCGACCGCCGGTTACGAGGTGCTCCTTTTACGACTCAAAGGGCCCCTTCTCGTTTAATGCTCGGCTTACGAAACCGAGGAAATTCGAGCTCGGCTGGATGCGATTTCCATCTGTAACGCGCACGGAACGACGAAAAATTACCCGTAGACGTTATATCATTCGACTTGTCATTTCGGTAATGGCTTTAGATAGGAACTTATATAGCACAAGTGAAGTCATACTTTGCCCCCGTTGATGTACGTTAGAAATGCGACGTTAATTTTTCCTAATTAAAAGGTAAGATCTAGGACCTGAGTACTTGGCCGCCACGGTGCAAACCCACTTTTCGTCGTCCCGTTATTACGATAAAATGATGTTTTTGTGAAACCTTGAAATCGTGATACCTCTAAAACCTGCCCTGCCATAGATCTACGGTATATTTCATTTATTGCTACTTTTGTGGAATTAATCAATTGCCCGGACTTGGGTCAAGGTACTTTTTCCTTTTACGTTCAACTTGTTTTTCAGTCTTAATGAAATCAGGTCTCTCGTGTCACGCGTAATGCTAAAGAGGGATTGTCTCCTTATCTCTTAATACGCAGTAAGAGTAATATGCGCGTCCCTTACGGAATACGACAGACGAAGTTTCGTAGGTACCTATTTTGGTGGCTTTTGGGGCCTCGAAGCCTTTTTATCGGATGGATTGAGCAAGAGCGTTCGATTCGGAGTGGAGCAAAGATAAGGCAAAGTGGGACTCCAAGCTGCAGGACGAAAGAAAGAAAGAAAAAAAAAGAGAGAGCCTCCATTCTTAATCTTGCATCGCATAAGAAAGCGCACAATAAATATTTGCTTCCGTATAAATCGAAGTCAAGTGGGCAAACGAGCAGCAGAAAATTAACGTTCATGTGAAATCGACGGCACGTGGATATCTCGAGCTTCGGTTTTACGGATTTGATGTTATTCTTTTTCTTTTTTTTCCCCCCTAAATTAATGCCTTACATTTAATGAACATCTACTTTTCCTTTCAATACCTGAGGAAGTCTCCCTATAAAGGTTGGTAAGAGGGAAAAACGTGGTGACCTCGTATGTACATTTCTCTATTTCCCACACCTCATCCTCGATAATTTCCTGTTTATCATTTCGATACTTTAATATATCGTTCCCTTTCGCGAAGATCGTCAAAGGAATGAGACGAGTCGGTGAGCTTGCATGATTATCTCATTTTAATTCAAGCAAGCTAAGTGCCCTCGAATTTTCGCGGTTCGAGGGGAGACTTTCCTTGTTGATTTCTCGCCGCGTGGTATCCGACTTTCACGTGCAATCTGAGAGCTTCTATTATGACATTTGGCGCTCCAGTTGACGCGAATACAGCCGGATTTTGCGATCGAGGACGACCTTACATATCTTGGCACTTTGCGCTCTGTTTGACGCGAAATTAATTAGACTTCACGGCAAAGGACCACTCGCGAATCTCTCTTCTCCACCTGACACGTGAATTTATGTATAGCATAGTATTAAACGAAAAAACATCAATTACATTTCTCATGAAAATGGAATATATGGACTCCGAACAGCTAATTACTCCCTTGATATGCACTTTACTTAGGGGGAAAAAAAAATTGAAGAAAAGGGACGATCCTTTCTCCCTCTTCCTTTCGCTCAGAGATAGCCCGTCGCCATATTGCGTTGCGCAGTTTTGCTAAATCCGAGGAAAAGGGAGAGAAATAGAGTGTCCCTTCTTTCGTCTCTTAAAGTGATTACCATCATAGGAGGGATAGGGTCCATACATCCCTCCATTCATAACTTTTCTACCCTTAGTATTTCGCGCTATCAAAAAATGTCACAAACCACAATTGTTCCCCGCAAGATTACGAGTATCCTTTACGTGAAATACTTTTCTCTCCAACGTGCCGTTATGGCAGAAGCTAGCTATCTGTACAGTAATCCCATGTTAAATGTCGATAATGATAGGCGATCGATATCAAGATGGAACATGTCAAGTATTGAATAAAAATGTAAGAAAATCTGGCCCTAGCCTCAACGACGAATTTCATCGAACATACCGTAAACGGCAATTGTCCCGTGACACAAATCTCAATATTCCGTTACGAATGAACATTTTTCTCTGCAATAAGCGTCGTTAAGGTAGAGAACTGTGATAATGATAACGAGACAAAGTCGACAGCTGTTATCGCAATCGACTCTTTAACGTAGTTTTCTTTAGGGTGTTCGAGGTCGCTGTCGAAGTCGAGGATGGTTTGGAAATGAAATGATGCAGTGACCTCGTACGAACTTTATTAATGAACGATATGTACAGACATATACAGAGCTCTCGCCACGGCGGGGAAGGAGGGGAGAATAAATAAATTTGACGTCGCGTGTATAAACGATGAAGGCCATTCGCGTGCGGCTCAGAATTTTGGGCGTATAGTTTACAAGCTTTCGGCTTCGCATTTCAAGTAGGCGCACGTACAATATCGATTTACAATCGAGGATGAGCTAATTAATGGAGTATGCTATAGAGACGTCGTTGTGAATCCTTTAATGAAAGCTGTCGGCAAACGAGATGTGGAAGGATGGCCGTGCTGTGAATGAAAGAAAAATTAGCACGGCGACAGGACGCACCTATATCTCGCATCTCCGAATTTCTCTACAAAATAAAGATGTATATATATATCTCCCTTTTCGATTCCATCAAACGTGCGCTCGCGGTTTGAGAAATCGCTCTCCAGCCGGTGGAACCACCACTTCGCGGGGAAATATCTTAATATAAATATATATTAAAATGTCATAATGTCGGCAGGTTTGATAAATTACATGGCATTCCATTTTCTCGCATCCACACCGGGGGGAAACGCGATAAATCGTGCTCTTAACTCGATCGATAAGTCCGAACGGACTTATTTTCCAGCGCTTTCAGTGATGCCTAACGTTCTTTTATTTCTCCTTTTTTTCCCACCGAG